GATTGGAATGAAAACTGACCTTTTCCAGTCCTGTGGCCACTGCTGAGTTTTACAAATTTGCTGGCATATTGAGTGCAGCACTTTCACAGCATCATCTTTTAGGATTTGAAATAGCTCAACTGGAATTCCATCACTTCCACTAGCTTTGTTCATAGAGATGCTTCCTAACGCCCACTTGACTTCACATTCTAGGATGTCTGGCTCTAGGTGAGTGATCACATCATCGTGATTATCTGGGTCATGAAGATCTTTTTTGTATAGTTCTTCTGTGTATCCTTGCCACCTCTTCTTAATATCTTCTGCTTCTGTTAGGTCCATACCATTTCTGTCCTTTATTGTGCCCATCTTTGCATAAATGTTCCTTGGTATCTCTGATTTTCTTGAAGAGATCTCTAGTCTTTCCCATTCTGTTATTTCCCCTTATTTCTTTGCACTGATCACTGAGGAAGGTTTTCTTATCTCTCCTTGCTATTCTTTGGAACTCTGCACTCAAATGGGTATATCTTTCCTTTTCTCCTTTGCCTTTCACTTCTCTTCTTTTCATAGCTATTTGTAGGACCTCCTCAGACAACCATTTTGCATTTCTTTTTCTTGGGGATGGTCTTGATCCCTGTCTCCTGTACAATGTCATGAACCTCTATCCTTAGTTCTTCAGGCACTCTGTATATCAGATCTAATCCCTTGAATCTATTTGTCATTTCCACAGTATAATCGTAAGGAATTAGATTTAGTTCACACCTGAATGGTCTAGTGGCTTTCCTTACTTTCTTCAATTTAAGTCTGAATTTGGCAATAAGGAGCTCAGGATCTGAGCCACAGTCAACTTCTGGTTTTGTTTTTGATGACTGTATAGAGCTTCTCTATGTTTGGCTGCAAAGAATATAATCAGTCTGATTTTGGTGTTGACCATCTGGTGATGTCCATGTGTAGAGTCTTCCCTTGTGTTGTTGGAAGAGGGTGTTTGCTGTGACCAGTGTGTTCTCTTGGCAAAACTCTGTTAGCCTTTGCCCTGCTTCATTCTGTACTCCAAGGCCAAATTTGCCTGTTACTCCATGTACTTCTTGACTTCCTACTTGTGCATCCTAGTCCCCTGTAATGAAAAGACATCTTTTTTGGATGTTAGTTTAAGAAGGTATTTTAGGTCTTCATAGAACTCTTCAACTTCAGCTTCTTCAGTGTTACTGGTCGGGGCATAGGCTTGGATTAGTGTAATATGAATGGTTTGCCTTGGAAACGAACAGAGATCATTCTGTCATTTTTGCAATTGCCTCCAAGTACTACATTTCAGACTCTTGTTGACTGTGATGGCTACTCCATTTCTTCGGGATTCTTGTCCACAGTAGTAGATAAAATGGTCATCTGAATTAAATTCACCCATTCCAGGCCAGTTAAGTTTGCTGATTATTTCTAAAGTGCCTATGTTCATTCTTGTGATCTCCTCTTTGAGCACTTCCAGTTTGCCTTGATTCACGGACCTAACATTCCAGGTTCCTATGCAGTATTGCTCTTTACAGCATTGGACTTCACTTCCATCACCAGTCTCATCCACAACTGGGTGTTGTTTTTGCTTTGGCTCTGTCTCTTCCTTCTTTCTCGAGTTATTTTTCTACTGATCTCTGGTAGCATATTGGGCACCTACCGACCTGAGTAGTTCATCTTTCAGTGTCCTATCTTTTTGCCTTTTCATACTGTTCATGGGGTTCTTGAGCCAAGGATACTGAAGTCCCTTCTCCAGTGGGCCACGTTTTGTCAGAACTCTCCTCCATGACCCGTCCATCTTGGGTAGAACTACATGACATGGCTCATAGTTTCATTGAGTTAGACAAGGCTGTGATCCATGTGGTCAGATTGGTTATGTTTATATTTATTATATATTATCTTTATTATATTTCCTTCCTTTCCTCACCTCGCATCTGCCAGATTAGATCCTTTCTGCCCTAATTTTTAGAGGAAAAAGCTCTACTTCAGTGGTTGATTAACTTGTTGTATAGCATAGGGAAGGAGGTGGCGATCCAGCTACTTCTTATAGAAACTTTAAACAAATCCATGCCTCACTCCATTTTGGGGTGTTTTGTGGTTGTTTTTTTTTTTTTTTCTTTTCTTTTATATCTATGATTCCTGAATCTTGCTTGGCATATGGCTGGAATTTATTTGCTCTGTTGTGACACCCTCCTCAGTAGGCATTTAGTATTAGATTTCTCAGTTTTGCCATAGACTTTTTCATTTGCTTGCCATCTCTGAAAAAATTTGACTTTTCTCGTCTGCTTACTATTCTTCTTCTGTTTTCTTGTCCTTGTAAGTTTATACTTTTACAGTTTCTTTATATGTTAATGAGGTTTTAAGAAAAAATTAGTGATAAACAGAGGTGTTCAATCTAGTGTATCTTACTGGAAGTGTTTTTAAGAGGTGATTTTCCCAGTGTTTTATAAGCTTTTTTGTTTGTTTGTTTTAAGCTTTTTTTTTAAGCTTTAGTTGTTTATATATTATTATCATTTTTGACATTTGTTTCCCATCTATATTATGGATTTCTTAATGTTTTTCTTAAGTGGACAGTTATTTTTTTTTAGTTAAATAAAATTAAAGAGACTATATTAGTAATAGTAAAAGGAAATTAATGTCATCAGCATAGTAACTATACTTTTTATTTTGTTCTTTAAAATATATACATGCATACCTCTGAGATATGGCAGATTCTGTTCCAGATGATCACAGTAAATTAAATATTGCAGTAAAGCGAGTCACCTGAGTATTTGATTTCCCAGTGCAGATAAAAGTAATGTCTATACTACACTGTAGTTTATTGTGTGCAATAGCATTATGTCTAAGAAGAATGTACTACCTTAATACTGTACTGATAAAAAATGTTAACCATAATCTGAGCCTTTAGCAAGTAGTGATCTTTTTGCAATAGTGACATCAAAGATCATTGACTACAAATCACCATAACAAATAAAGTAATGAAAGTTTGACATACTGCAAGAATTACCAAAAGGTGACAAACATGAAGTGAGCAATGCTGTTGAAAAATGGTGCAGAAGACTTGCTTAATAAGCAGGATTGAGGCAAATCTTCAATTTATAAAAAATATAGTATCTACAAAGTGCAGTAAAATGAAGCACAATAAAACAAAGTATGTCTGTACAAGGTTATTATCATAAAAATTACTTTCTGCATGCCTCCTAGATCCTCTTGTATACCACTAGTGTAGAACCATAGAACCATATTTTGGAACAAAGAAGAGAATCTGGTTAAGGTGATTGATAGTGATGTACTTGGACTTGTCTGTTTTCCCATTTATTAAGCATCCGTTGAGCATGTAACAAGGCATACTAGATTCTGCGAATACAAAGGTGAATGAAACATAGTCCTTGCCCTTAAGGATCTTTCCGTTTCCTGGTTTTGTCTGATATTCAAATAAGTATCATAAAGTTACGGTTTATGTAAAGGGTTCAGTGGAAACATGAACGAAGAAATGGTCAATATTTTTAGGGGAGGAGTGAAAAGCACCATACAGGAGGTGACATTTCAAGATTAGGAGGTGCTCTCTGGGGAGTGGGGCTGAGGATGGAGCAGGATGTAGGTGAAAGCATTCTCAGTAGGGAAGTGGGCCTGAGCAAAGATGGGGGACATGGAATCATAAGTAATTGGGGAAAAGGCAGCTAGGGAAACCTGAAAGAGATGAGGCTAATAAAGTAGGGCGAACTAGGCATCGTGGAGGGACTAGTATGTATATGTGTCCTGCTAAGGAATTTAGACTATTTTGAAGGCAGTGAAAAGCCTTTGAATTAGTCAAGCACTGAACATTTTTGGAGCACTATGTCACATCCTGTGGAGGACTCAAATTTTTAGACATGATCCCTTTAGGAACTTAGCTTTTAGTTGAGGGGAATCAAGAATCAAACAGCAGAACTCAGCTGACAAAAAATCTGCATTCTTTATACCCAAGTAAATTTAGTTTCTATAGTAATCTCCTTTTGAAATTCTAAAACCTAACTTTCCATCTTCCTTTCTAGAGTCTCATCAAGTCCTTGCTCAACTGTTGGACACTTTGCTTGCAATTGGCACTAAACTCCCAGAGAATCAAGCTATCCAGATGCGATTAGTTGATGTAGCCTGCAAGGTAAGAATATAATGGTTAGATACAGGGTTGCCTCTTTACTGAACAGTTTTGCATTATCTGGAGAAGTGACCTGAGCTGTCAGATCTGCTTACCTCCATCCTAAGTCTATAACTGAGAATTGCCAAAGACTCTTAAATAGCTTTAAGAACTGCTTCATTTTTTGTTTGTTTCTTGATGTTGGATTAGGAATAAAGTTGAGTAACTTGTTATAAAATGAACTTCCTCACTGTCCCAAAAGAAATGAAAATAATTACGGGAACTACCATGTATTCCATGTCTAACATATGCTCTCTCCTTATTATGGTACTATTTTTTTTTTTCCATTTATTTTTATTAGTTGGAGGCTAATTTATGGTACTATTTTTTATCTTTTTGAAAGAAAAGTAATTTTATTCCTGTGGTGTGTGCTCATTGTTAAAAACAAAGTTAACTAATACAGAAATAAAATAAGTGAAAGCCACTCCATCTTTCCCTCCTAGTCCCTCTTCTCAGGCATAACACCTGTAAACAGTTAGGAATTATGATACTTTCATTTGTTCCTCATAGTCCTTTAGGGAACTGCTGTTATATCTCTTTTACTAACATGGGAAATGAGGTTGAAGGAGTTTAGTTTGTCCACGTTTTCATACTTAGGAAGTTGCAGAACCAGGGCATAAACTCTTTTCTGATTCCAAAGCCAAATTCTTTTTAATTTGGAACTTTTAATTAGCTTCTTTTTGTGCATAGCACCAGCTCCTAAACCTTGTAGAATTGGCTTTACTTTTAATCTTTTTGATAAATTTGTTTTGAGAATATAAGGAGACAATGTGTTTAAATTGTGGAAGGGTTACATTCATGGAATTAGAAAATTATTTCTGAACCTCAGGAAAGAGTATTTCATTTATCTTAATAAACAATGACAACAACGAAAAAGCCTGCAACACTTTGAGAAGTACAGTATTAAAAGCTTAAGTGGAAGAAAACTAGGAATTACATGTTTGAGAGAATACGTACATCTTCCACGTGAGAGAATATAGGTATCTGGGAGGTTGTGCTTATGAGAGAGGTGTTTTACTTAGTGGATTAATCTGCTTGAAGCAATAGTTTCTTAAATTTGTTCTAAAGAAATCTTTAATTATAAAAATTTATACTCATGGAAATTTGGAAAGAAGTATAAAGAAAGAACTACACTCATAATTCACTATGTAAAGGCAACCATTATTAGCCTTTTGGTGTATCCTTTCTGACATTTTTTCTGTATACAGATTGTTTGCTTTCTTTTTCCTCATATAGCTGTAATCATATCCTACATTCAGTTTTGCTTTTTGACTAACGTAACAGAAGTATTTTCTTTATATTGTAAATGTTTTATAAATATTTTTAATGGATGCATGATATTTTGTCCAGTAATCAAACCATAGTTTGGCCTAACCATTCTCTTAATAGTGGACATTTATATTGTAGCCATTTTTTAAAATAGTAAATAATACCACACAGTGAATATGATTAGTCTAAAGTATTTCCTGTATCTAGGGTTATTTCCTAAACATACATTGTCACAGTAGAATTACTGGATGAAAGCATTTAGAATTTTTGTTTTTAAGGCTTTTGATACTTTTGGCAAATTATTTTCTACAGTATGCTAGTTTAAGCCTATCCACAGTATATGAGAGTGCATAATTTCACATATTATTCTAGCATTTGGATATTAATGTTTTAAAAGCAACGTAAACCTGTTAATTTGATAAGAAGGAAATGGTATTTCATTTAAAAATTTTCCCTATTTTTTCTTCATTTGTATGTCCTGTCTTCAGTTCAGTTCAGTTCAATCGCTCAGTTGTGTCTTACTGTTTGCAACCTCATGGCCTGCAGCACTCCAGGCCTCCCTGTCCATCACCAACTCCCAGAGTTTACTCAAACTCATGTCCATCGAGTCAGTGATGCCATCCAGCCATCTCATCCTCTGTCGTCCCCTNCAACTCCCAGAGTTTACTCAAACTCATGTCCATCGAGTCAGTGATGCCATCCAGCCATCTCATCCTCTGTCATCCCCTTCTCTTCTCACCTTCAATCTTGCCCAGCATCAGGATCTTTTCAGATGAGTCAATTCTTCTCATTAGGTGCCCAGAGTATTGGAGTTTCAGCTTTAGCATCAGTCCTTCCAATGAATATTCAGAACTGATTTCCTTTAGGATGGACTGGTTGGATCTCCTTGCCATCCAAGGGATTCTCAAGAATCTTCTCCAACACCACCATTCAAAAGCATCAATTCTTTGGCACTCAGCTTTCTTTATAGTCCAGCTCTCACATCTATACATGAATACTGGAAGAACCATAGCTTTGACTAGACTGACCTTTGTTGGCAAAGTAGTGTCTCTGTTTTCAATATGTTCTGTAGGTTGGTCATAGCTTTTCTTCCAAGGAGCAAGCGTCTTTTAGTTTCATGGCTGCAGTCACTACCTGCAGGGATTTTGGAGCCCCCCAAAATAAAGACTCTCACTGTTTCCATTATTTCCCCATCTATTTGCCTTGAAGTGATGGGACCAGATGCCATGATCTTAGTTTTCTGAATGTTGAGTTTTAAGCCAGCTTTTTCAGTCTCCTCTTTCACTTTCTTCAAGAGGCTCTTTAGTTCTTCTTCACTTCCTGCCATGGGGGTCGTGTCATCTGCATATCTGAAGTTATTGATATTTCTCCCAGCAGTCTTGATTCCAGCTTGTGCTTCATCCAGCCTGGCATTTCTCATGATGTACTCTGCCTAGAAGTTAAATAAGATACAGCCTTGACGTACTCCTTTCCCGATTTGGAACCAGTCTATTGTTCCATATCCAGTTCTAACTATTGCTTCTTGACCTGCATACATATTTCTCAGGAGGCAGGTCAGGTGGTCTGGTATTCCCATCTCTTTAAGAATTTTCCACAGTTTGTTGTGATCCACATAAAGGTTTTGGCGTAGTTGGTAAAGCAGATGTTTTTTCTGGAACTCTTGTGCTTTTTCGATGATCCAACGGATGTTGGCAATTTGATCTCTGGTTCTGTCTTGGGAATGAACTTTGCATGTTCTTTCTAGTTTCTCATATGGATTTTTTGTGCATGCCTTCCCCATTTGTAGAGGCTCATAACTGGGTAGAAATCTGCCACAAGCTTTTGCAAATTCAAGTAAATAAAGGCTGTCTATGATTCATAACTATAGTTACTGTTTCTATTGCTTAATGCTATTTTGTCTGTGATTTTTGGCATATAGTGATCTTTGAGATATGATTCACATTAAAATAACATTCCCCCTTTTAATAGAAATAATGCAGAGTATGTTTTCCAGCTATAATGGAATTAAATTATATGAGTAACAGAAAAAAATTAGGAAAACCACAAATATGTGGAAACTAAACAACATGCTCCTGCTTAACCAGTGAGTCAGGAAATCAGCACGTAAATTAGTGAATACTTTGAGGTGAATGAATGCACTGCGTACCAAAACTGGGCTGCAGCTACTGCACGCTTAGAGGGAAATTTATGGCAATTAGTGTCCATAGTAAAAAAAGAAGAAAGATCTCATTCTAGTACCTTATTCTTTTACCTAAGATGCTGGGTAAAGAAGAGCACATTAAATATAAAAGCATGCAGAAGGAAGGAAGTAAGAAAGACTAGAGTGGAAATGAATGAAATCAAGAGTAGAAAAACAGTAGAGAAAAATCAAAGAAGCAAAAGCTTGTTCTTTGTAAATATCAACAAAATTGAGAAACCTTTATTTTTGGAAAGGAAAAAATGAGGGCTCAAAGTGCTAGAATCATAAATGAAAAGAGGCCATTTCTGCTGACCCGATAGAAATAAAAAGGATTATAAAAAAATACTATGAACGATTTTATGCCAATAAAAGAATGCACAAATTCCTACTAATTCCTACAAAGATACAAACTGCGAAAACTATCTCAAGAAGGAGTAGACAATCCAAATGTACTTATAACAAGTAATTAAATTAGTAATGAAAAAAACAAAAACTTACCTACAAAAAGAAGCTCAGGCCCAGATGGCTTTGAATCAAACATTTTAAATAAGAATTCATACCAATTCTTCACAGATTTTCCTAAGAAGTAGAAAAGAAGCAGCATTTCTCAACTGATTCTATGAGACTAGTATAACCTTAGTACCAAAACCAAACAGAAACATTTTAAGAAAAGCCAGATATGTTCTAGAGAACTTATTGGACAAGAAGCCGGTTAGGTTGTTATTGCACTGGGCTTCCCTTGTGGCTCAGATAGTAAAGGATGTTATTGTAGTAGCCTACATGAAAGGTTATTGTAGTTTGAATTAAAGTTATAGAAAGATGGGAAGATATGGATAGATTTGAGAAATATTTAGGAAGTAAGATTGGCAGGATTTGATAATTGGTGAAGGAATTGCTGAGGATATTTCCCATTTCCAGCTTACGTGCCAGATTAGATGGAGCTGCCTTTCACTCAGAGAATTCTGGGAAAGCATTTGGTTGGGTGTGGGACAAAGTCCAAATAACCCAACAATTGCAAACTTACTAAAAAAAATTTTGAAAATAGTACAAGAGATTTCCATATACCCTTCTTTTTGACTCATCAGTCATTAACATTCTCCTGCATTTGCTTTATGATTCTCTCTCTATGTCGGGGGCCTCCCTGATAGCTCAGTTGGTAAAGAATCCGCTTGCAGTGAGGGAGACTGGGTTCGATCCCTGAGTTAGGAAGATCCCCCGGAGAAGGGAAAGGCTACCCACTCCAGTGTTCTGGCCTGGAGAATTCCAAGGACTGTATAGTCCATGGGGTTGCAAAGAGTTGGACATGACTGAGCAACTTTCACTTTCACTCTCTCTATATATATTTTACTGAACCATTTAAGAGTAAATCGCAGACATTATGCTTCTTTTCCACTAAATACTTAAATTTTTATTTCTTAAGAAGGAGGAAATCATTTTTATAAACCAAGTTTTCAAAATCAAGAAATTTAACTCTGGATTTTGTCTGTTTCTTTTTTTGACTGCTTGGTCTGTGAGA